CAAAATTATAACAGAATAACAGAATTAGAAGGGACATTGGAGGTCTTCTAGTCCAACCCCATCTCTCAAGCAGGAAACCCTATATCATTTCAGACAAATTATCACCCAATCTCTTCTTTAAAACCTTCAATATTGGAGCACCCACAACTTTTGGAGGCAAGTTATTCCATTGATTAATTGTTCTGTCAGGAAGTTTCTCCTTAGTTCTAGTTTGCTTCTCTCCTTGATTAGATTCCATCCATTGCTTCTTGACCTGCTTTCAGGTGCTTTGTAGAATAAGTTGACCCTGTGGAAAGAGTGTCCTGTCTCTGAAATGTGCCCATGGAGGCTCATACATTGGATTTTTTTCTTTCAAGGCAATGGAATTGTGATTTGGGAGTTGGGGGTTGATTACAGTCCCTGGCCCTAGAGTTGTTCATAGAGATCTCTTCATGAAGCAACTTAAGCAACTGATGGATCCAATGCAATTTCAGTAGGAGCTTGCCTGTTTTCCATGAAGCTCTAGCACATAATTCAGTGGAGGCTTTTGCTGCAGTTTGGAATGAGCACATAACAGGGGCTCTATATTGGATTATGCTCATGAGGATTTTGTGGTCACAGGTCTTGTAGAGTTTGTGGTTTTAGAGTTGTGAAAGAGGAACTGGCACAAGAAATGCCTTGTGTACTTTGATGAAGAATGAAAAGCAAAGCTGACTGGATTCAGAGAAACTTCACCATGGAAAACCTGTGGAGGGCTTGAGATGGAGATAGCAGAACCATATTGGTCCACTTGGATCTTTTGACAGCATTGACTATGGCATCTTTCTAGTCCAGCTTTGGGGAATGGGAGGTATTGATTTGCAGTGGTTGTTCTCTTTCCTATGCAGCTGGTTCCAGTCAATATTGGTGATTGGGGAACAGAGGCTTAGTTCTAGGTTTCTGAAATGTGAAATTTGATCAAGTCTTTCACTGACCTTCTTTGACATCTGCATGAAACCAGTAAGTGAGGTCATTTGAAAGCATGAGGTATAGCATTATTGGTGTTGATGATACCCAGTTATATATTTTCACCCTGGCCCAGAAAGGTGATGCTGTTGGAGTGCGGCCTCAGTCCTTGAAGACTGTGAATGTCTGGATGGGAAAATGTCCAGATCTGTTCTCTATGACCCAGAATGCAGGGCATAGAATAAGGAACAGAAGTTACAGAAAGGCAGAACAAGCCAAACATTAAGAAAATACTTTATAATGCAAAAATAGTTCAACGGTGGAACCAATTATCGAAGCAGTAGTGGGCTCCCCCTCATTAGCTAAACAGGCTGGGCAGGCTGAATAATTTTTATTTGGATACCTAAATGTCCTTCCATGTATATGATTTTGCAGACTTGAACTTTCAGAGGAAATGTTTAGACTGACATTATAAACACACAAGACCTACACAATAAAGGAATAGGTGAAGATGGTCTGATACAGTGGAAAATACAATGAGATACACAGAATTTGAAAAAAGCATGTCTGAAATTAAAAGGAATTTTCTGTATCTTGGTTCCAACGGAGTATAGGTTTTGACAAAGCTTCTGTCTTAAGTGTTTTTCCATTTGTGTGAGAAAGAAGACCGTATGCAAAAGAATAAACGTGCAGTTATTCCAATGAAGTCAGTGAAGAACCTCAAATAAACCGGCACTACTTTCATGGATTGTAATATTTTATTTTATTTATATTTTATTCATTTAAATTTTTTATTATTAACTTTTATGCCACCCATCTTGCCGAGGCAACTCTCGGTGACATAGAAGTTTAATACCCATGAAGAATCTTAGACTGGGATCCCAGGTTTTTTATGATTTGACCAGTGTGTATTAAGAAGGATCCCTACTATTATGTCAGTCTTACACTTTCACTTTAATGTTGATGTAGTTAACCGCATTCTTGGCTCTGTTGTTCATAAAGTTCTATGCTCTGTTCTAAGTTGCAGGTGATGACTGCAGTGACCACTGTAATTTGGCCCACGGCAGCTGTGAGAAGGATGGCAAATGCAGGTAAACAGTTTTTTTAATGCACGTATAGCTTTTTCTTTGTGTAGCCTTCCATTCTGTCTGCCGTTGCTTCCTTTTCAACATAATATATTGTAACAATGCATATGTCAATCACAAGAAGGCTTGACTTTCTGTGATTCTGACACAGAAGCCAAAGAGGCTAAGACACCGCCCCAAAAAACCACTTTGTTTCAGTAAGTTGATAAATAGAAGTTGAGAGAAGGACTTAGCTTAATTATTTATAGCAAGATATTCCCATAAGAGAAGGAGGGCCTATGGAGCTGACATCAGCTGTGAGTCCTTGAAAATGAGAATTCTGGATACAAGAAGAGTGCATTTATTTACATTTGTATTTTATATTATTTTGTACTGTTTTAATAGTTTTGTTTTTTATGTGTCATGACATGGACCGCCAAGGGTCACTCGTTGAGATGGGCAGCTATAGAAATCAAATAAATAAACATTTTTTTTTTAAATGAAGGTGTAATAATTAGCAACTAAAACTGAGTTAGACAGCAGTGGCTGTTGAAGATTTATTGGCTGGGTGATCCTGAGATGGACCACCAGGCAATTTGATATACTAGTGGGATATTGGTTTGAATGGCATTGGAACATTCTTCAAATGGAAACGGGCATATTCTGTAGAAGTAGGTTGAAGGCAAAGGCGAAGAGGCACTGAGAAACCCTTTTTTTTTTTTTTTACTGGAAACAGATTGCTTCTCTGAGGCAGAAGTTAGATGGAAGATGAGAAGTTCTACTAACCAAAGCCAGAGAGAAAATCAGTATCAGAGTCAGAATTCCAGTTCAGTACCTTTAACATTTTGTTTATCTCAAAGTAGATTGTAAGGTGTAGGAATGCATATCAGACACACATTATGGATTACATATAGAATTGGAAAAGATTTAGCTTGCAATATTTAGTATTGAAGAGGGGGGGAGGAAAACCCTTGACTGCCTATGGTATACTGGAATTTTCTCTGCTCATCCAGATCTTGCATTCTTTTGCAGATGTGATCCCGGTTGGGAGGGAAAATATTGTGAACACTGTGTGAGAATGCCTGGCTGTGGCCATGGGACATGCCACCAGCCGTGGCAGTGCATTTGCCAAACTGGCTGGGCTGGCAAGTTCTGTGACAAAGGTAGGTTACTCCAATTGAAGCAGGATGGAAAAATCTTAAATAAAATCTGGACAATGGAGACACACATATTGGAAGTGGATACTCTTACATAATGCTGCTTTACACTGGTGTGTGTATGTTTGTTTGTTTGTGTGTGTGTGTGTGTGTGTGTGTGTGTGTGTGTACAGAAGCTTGACCACATACTTGGTAGCCAAACTACAAAAAATTCAAGGACATGCTAGAGCAAGATATGTAGCTTTTACTATAGATACAAAAGAAGTCATATCTGCAGAGAAGAACGGAATTGAATTCTATGTACATGTAGTCCTCAATTTACAACAGTTCATTTAGTGACCATTCAAAGCTACAATGGCACTGAAAAAAAGTGACTTTTATGACAATTTTTCACATATATGACTGTTGCAGCATTCCCATGGTCATGTGATTTACATTCATATACTTGACAACTGGTTCATATTTATGATGGTTGTTGTGTCCCGAGGCCACGTGATCATCATTTGGGACCTTATGACAAGCAAAGTCAATCGGGAAGCCAGACTCACTTAACAACCGTATTACTAGTTTAACAACTGCAGTGATTCACTTATCAAACATGGCAAGAAAAGTTGTAAAATGGGGAAAAACACACTCTTCAAATTTCTTACTTAGCAACATAAATCCTGGGCTCAATTGTGGTTGTAAGTTGAGGACTACCTGTGCATGTGGGCCAGACTCAAGGTTTAAGCCCGAGGCATTTTCTCCTACATTTTAAAATTTAGGTTAGGATTTTTAGGCCATTTAGTTCCCAGCTTTAAAAACTGACATCTGTATTCTTTCTAATCTTAGTTATCCCATCTTTAGTTTTAAAACAACAGTAGCAGTTCAGCCAAATCTCAGTAATCATATAGCCTTGTTAGCAGTGTCTTCTTGTCTTTGAAAGAGTGTCTTTTAAGAAGACAACAGTTGCTTAGAGTTCTTGGTCCATCTCCGAGGTGGGGCGTGGGAGGAGTCACTGATGGGTATTATCACGGCCCATTTGCCCAAAGACTGAGGTAAATCTGAGGACACTCCCTCTGCTCCTTCTTCTAACTCTCCAGATTAATCTCAGTCTTCAGCCCAGAAGGAGACATTTTACCTGGCGCCAAGGTATCCCTGACCACCATCAGCAGACGGATAAGATTAGCCATTTCCAGGACCTATGAGGCATGTAGGCTGCCGGTGCCGGTGGACCATCACCGCACACTCCACCTGGAGTGCAGCTACCTCTGCAACCTGGGCTATCCAGGCATTCATCGAGGACATATGCAGGGCAGCCGCCTGGTCCTCTCCATCGCCCTTCATCAGGCACTTTCGACTAAATGTGTATGCCTCAGCTGAGCATCCTTCTGGAGGAGGGTCCCGAGTCGAGAGACTCAGGCCCAATGATCCCTCCCATGGACATCTAGCTTTGGTATGTCCCATCAGTGACTCCTCCCATGCCCCACCTGGGAGACAGTCAGTTGGTCTTACCTGAACTGCATGTTCGAGGGTGAGTGGGAGCAGTCACTTCCTGCCCGTTAGGTGCCCCCTGCGCCAGGGCCTGAGTTGTCTTAGTTCAGGTCAGTCAGGGACCTCGGAGGGAGTTGGGTGGTCGCTGTCCCTTCCTTCCCAGGTTCTATGTTAACTGGACCATCAGTTAATCTGGAGAGTCAGAAGGAGGAGCAGAGGGAGCGTCCTCAGATTTACCTCAGTCTTTGGGCAAATGGGCCATGTTAATACCCATCAGTGACTGCTCCCACGCCACCCTCGAAACATGCAGTTTAGGTAAGACCAACTGACTTTTTCAGTGGTGGGATTCATTTTTTTTTTACTACCGGTTCTGTGGGTGTGGCTTGGTGGGTGTGGCATGGCTTGGTGGGCATGGCTTGGTGAGTGTGGCAAGGGAAGGTTATTGCAAAATCCTCATTCCCTCCTGATCAGCTGGGACTCGAGAGGCAGAGAATAAATGGTGGCGGGGCCAGTCAGAGGTGGTATTTACCAGTTCTCGAACTACTTAGAATTTCCGCTACCGGTTCTCCAGAACTGGTCAGAACCTGCTGAATACCACCTCTGGTCCTCTTTCTTTCAGACTGGCCTTACCTATACAAGCCTCAATAGAAATAGGTGCCTCCTTGTCAGGCAGGGTAAAGACAATGATAATGTACTTCTGAAAAAAAGCCATTTAATTTTAGCAGTTTCAGTATAAGTGGGGCCATTCAGCAAAAGTGGTTTTTGTTGAATATTGCTGCCACTTCATTCCGTCTCTTGCAAGGTTTACCCTTTGACACACCGTTGGGTCAACAATATTCATGCTTTGAACATTTCACCCTATTTGGGAGGGACATTATTACATTCTGAGAATGTGTAAAGCACGGATAAAGCACATATCTAAACTCCACTATAGGTTGGTTAGTTATTGTGTGAGTGGGTTTCGGGGTGGTGGTGTTTGAGAGGAAAATTAAAAAGTAGCTTCTGAGTATGAAGAAGGATGGAAGGAATCCAGACAATAAATTATTTTAGGAAAATGTTTTTCCTTTTGATCTAACTACTCAGTTCTATACTTTCCTCCTCCTCGATTGTCATTTTGTTTGTTTCAGACATTAAGTATGTTATACTACTCAGTTATCAGTAAATAAATATATTTACCATCTTTTCTTGAGATCAAGTTCATTAAAAGAAAACTTCTACCCATTGTCAAATTACAGGCAGTCCTCAACTTATCATTTGTTTAGTGACCATTCAAAGATACAATGGCACTGGAAAAAGTGAAATATGACTGTTTTTCACACTTATGACCATTGCAGCATCCCCATGGTTACATGATCAAAATTTGGCTTCTTGGCAACTGGCTCATATTTATGACAGTTGCCATCTCCTGAGATCATGTGATGCCCTTTTGCGACCTTCTGACAAGCAAAGTCAATGGGGAAACCAGGTTCATTTAACAACTAACTTAATAAATGCAGTGATTCACTTAACAATTGTGACAAGGAAGATCATAATATGGGGCAAAACTCATCTAACAATTGTCTCACAAGCATGAATTTTGGGTTCACATATGGTCAAGGACTTCCTAAAGATGAATCTTGGGTAGATGGCCAAATAACTGTAACTTTTATGAAGCACCTCCCTATGGACCTCTATGGGATCTTCATCCTTTTTGATGTATTTTTAAAAAAATTCTACTTAATGATTGTAGTGTAAAAATATATTTTTTTAAAGTGGGACTTAAAATTGGCATGAGACAATCAAGCTCAAATATGTTTTAAACCTATCTTTTATTTTTATTTTTTTTAATTATTTCAGATGTTCATGTCTGCGAGCATCAGTCACCGTGCAGAAATGGAGCTGAGTGTGTATACGATCGTGATGGAGAATATTCCTGTCTGTGCCTTGAAGGATTCCATGGAAAGGACTGTGAACTGAAGACAGGGCCGTGTGAGAAAGCAAGGTGAGCAGTCCTAGTAAAAAAGGAGAAGATAATCTGAGACCAGAGCTCCTCTGCTTTGGTCACAATGAATTTTACATCTTCAAGAAAATGCCATGTAAATGAAAATGTGTAACTATTGTGGCTGGCCAGCAGAGCTGGCAGCAGATTCAGAGTGAGGAGATTGGGGAGGAACATGTGCCAGTCCTGGAGTCTGGGGAAGGCTCTGATGTGGCCTTTGTGTCAGAAGCAGAAAGGGGACCAGAACCGTATGCCAGTTATCAGCTGCCATCAGAGTCAGACATCAGTGAGGTAGACGAACAGCTGGAGCCTGTTCCCAGTGTACGCATGCGCAGAGTTGCCAGATGAAGGGAGCAGCTAAAGAACAGGAGTCGACTTGGGAGTAAGGCCACAGGTGGACGATGAATGTTCCTCCCAGAGGAAATAAAAGAGGAGCAAAAGGGGAGTGGAGTTTGCAGGAGACAATTAGTTCACTTAATTGGTTCGTGGCTCTCCGAGACTCCTTACCAAGTTTTGCCGATATTGACCTGTCAGCTCTCTAAGTCAAATAAAGTCTGGGACTGTAAATTCTCCCTTGAAAGACTTTGCTGGATGTGAATGAGCATAATTCACAGGAAATTAGTAAAAGGGGTATTTTGTCAGGACAAGGAGTTTGCTTCATGCTCTCGAGAAGCCTAGGTCAGAACAGTAACCTTTGGGCAAAGATTGACTAGAGTTTTACTTTTACAAAGAGAAAATTGAAACTTCCAACTTTGTAGTGGACTTTATGGGGTTGTGGTAATCTAATAAAAAAAGCATGATGGGTCTTAATTTTCCCCTGATTTTTGTCTTTTCAGATTTCCATGCAAAAATGGTGCATTGTGCCACGATGATAATGGCTTTGCTTCCAATTACACCTGCAAGTGCCTGGCTGGATTCACTGGTGCACATTGCGAGATTGATGTCAACGACTGCCTCATGCGTCCCTGTGCCAACGGCGCCACCTGCCTCGATGGCATTAATCGCTTCTCCTGTCAGTGCCAGGTTGGCTTTGAAGGACGTTTCTGCACCATCAACATTGATGATTGTGCCAGCCAACCATGCACGAATGGGGCTAAGTGTTATGATCGCATCAACGATTTTGATTGCTTGTGTCCCGAGGGCTTTTCTGGGAAAACATGTCAGCTCCAAGCTCCAGAGGCAACCTGGATCACTGAGTCTCAGCCTGATGACAAGGACCACAACAGGGCTCTGGGAAGCACAACCAGCAGTTACCCTTGGATGACCCAGTCTGAGCCAGCCAAGGTTATAGTTACTGGAAAGCGTATCACTAACTACAGCGAGAAATCAAATGATGATGGGCTGTTAATCTCTGTGAAAGAGGTGGTAACTCAGCAGGACTCAGGGCTGAGTCAGTCACAGCTCATTTTAGTGCTTGTATTTGGGGGGATCACTATTTTGTTGGTCTTGGTGACCGTGTTGCTGCTGCTGAAGAATTGGCAGAAGGGGCGCCGGAGAAGTCAGAGCCCCTCCCAAACTGCAAGGAAGCTTCAGGACCAAGAATGTCAAGTGGGAATGTTAAGTACAATCTTGATAGAACCCAGGAAAACAACGGAGCTGTAAGAAGCCAGAATCAGGGCCTGGTTGATCTAGAAACGCCCACTGGCGACTCAAGAGAATCCTTCCAGCTGTGTCTGGGGTCAGTTCTGGCTGCTTATCTCCAAAGCGTTGACGGCTCTGATGGAACTGAAGGCTGTGAATTGGCATGAAGGAATGTGTCCACAAGGCAGTAAATCCTGCTTTGAGAAAATAATTCTTGAATGTGTGCAGTAAATCCATTAGCATGTTGACTTCAACTCATCAAGGCAGCCAAGGAAACCCTGGGCTAGGATAACCCTCCTTTTGAAAGCAGCAAGTGGATCAGAAGGTTGTTATCCGACTATATCCTACATTGTATAATGGCGTCAAAGGTGCCGGGAGAGTTTGTAGGAGCTGAAACTTCATTAGGCCTTCAGGCATTTGATAACTCTTAGTTAGAGTCTTTGCAGATTTCAAATGGCCTATTTACTTCTCAGAGTTTAGAAACTGCTGTGGATATGCCCTGACTCTAGAATTCTGGTCCAAACAATATTGAATTTTTCTACCATTTCTGCCATTATGTGTTTCCAATGACATTATCTTCCCAAGGGCCTCATAATGCCATGAGACAGTTTGCTGACCATTTTTATTACTTCTCCCTTCCCTTCTATTTCATTTTCTTTGTTTGTTTGTTTGTTTGTTTAGTTGCAAATGAAAGATTCTGTATTATACCAAATCATCTCAGGAGGTTTGTTAATACTTTCATTTTATATCATGTTCATTCACCAATCCAGCAACACATTTCCTCAGCTATGGTGTCAAACTGGAGCAAAAACAAAGCAAATGTCCATTCTTTGCCTTGGATATCTGGTTTGAGCCTTCACACTTGCCAGAAAGAAGATGGATGTCTATGAAATTGGAAGTAGAGCTCTGTTCAAGCAAGTTCTTAAGTGAAAGAACTTAGGAGTGACATTAAACAATTATATTGTTGGAGGATTCCACATAGTGTGCATGTATATGGGAGAGAGGAAAAGAGGTACATGCTATAAATTTGGAGAGAAGAATGCCTCAAGATCTACGTTGGATTCTATCAAAAAAGAGGTGGTAGAACTGCTGAAATTTTGAAACAAAAGTTTTAGGGTTCCAGATACAAAACCCACTTTTTAGAATGGTTGTCTTTGTGCTAAGTTTTGTCTGTTTTCAGCAGCAAGTGTTGCTCTCCATCTGCTGTTCCTTTTCTAAGGGAACATTGGTAATTGTCTTACAGCAAGTCACTTCATTCGTTCATTTAGCTCAGAAGCCGTCATATTGATTGGCCATACTTCTCCAGGAATTTAGGTAGGAGAGTAACCAATCCTTACCTGGCAATGACAGGATTTAAAAAATATACAATCAATTACTTTACCTTCTCTATATGATAGTGAAGGTAATGATGCAGTTAAACAGAAAATATTGTATAATGCTCTTTGGGTTGAATGATACAATCTGTTCCATTCCCTTCAGTAGTACAGTAGTACTTTCTCTATTCTATCAAGATAAAATGCTGAGCTTGTAGAAAGTTCATGTTGGCCTTGGCTACTCAAGTCCCTCATCTCACAGCAGAAATATGTCAACACTTTAGGATTGTGGCTAAGTTCCTAGGTTGTGTGCATGGAAATACCTAAGTTAAGCAAAAAAACTTGAAGGAAATATTATTTTTGTAATACACAATTGATAAATATGTATTACTGCTCAGCTCCCCTCGTCTCACAGCAGAAATATGTCAACACTTTAGGATTGTGGCTAAGTTCCTAGTACATGGAAATACCTAAGTTAAGCAAAAAAAAAACCTGAAGGAAAGATTATTTTTGTAATACACAATTGATAAATGTGTAACTTTATAAAATAAATACAGTAATTAAAATACCAACAACCAGTGCCTTCCTGCCCTCTACACAAATTATCAGATTGAATCATCACAGCTCTGTCACATTTAACAAAATCTCTTTTTTTTGCTCAGGAGTGGCTGAAAAGGATGAAGTAATAATATTGTTTCCCCAAGTATTGATGCTCTTAGTATTACTTTTTAGGGATGGTAATTTTGATTTAGGCAGTGATCCATACGCTTAGTAATCAGTGGCATATGAAACAAGCTGCAGACAAACAATGTGTAATGGCATCACACAACTGCTGTTGTTAGATACTTGCATGTATTTGTCTCCCTTTGCATGATGTGTGTGTCAACATAATTGCACAAGTGCTGTAATTTATGTACTTAGGACAGACACCAGCACACAAGTACACAAAGGCACTGTGTGATGATGTTACTGCACATGTCATTTTTATGTCATCATGACTTACTGGTGAAATCAATAGCAATATACATGCCCACATGTTTACCAATTAAGATGGATAAATATATTGGCAAATAAGGTTGTTGTCGGAAACATACATATAAAAAAGGGTAAAGGATATCGGTATTGGGGGGGGGGATGGGGATGATATTCTGAAATAAGATTTTAAAAAATACAAGTGATGCAATATTTTTATTAGGATCAGCCAAAATTCACGAGATAACAGCTTTTGGCTTGATTTATTCCATGCACTAAAATGCAATATTCATTTTCTTCATATCTGCATTTTGTATTTAATTTCTGGATCTAGCTACCATGATTTATAAACCACAATATACACTGTACAGCTTTGAGCCTCTAGGAAAGCAGCAATTACATTGCTTGAAGCAATGTATGGATCAAGCCCTTGAGTGACCCAGAAGTATATTGGATTAGATGACACAAAAATCAGAAAATGTGCTGCAGTTGTCAAAA